GGCTCTCCAACAACTGGAAGTGATTTCCTGAGTGAACATGCTCAGAGACAGTCCCAACAACCTGGAGGGCTCGAAGCACAAATGATTTCAGCTGAAGTTAGGAGCTGGCCAAGAAAACCTCAGTGTCACAGGGGAGGTCGTCGCTGTGCCAGAGGTCCTTGTGAGAGATAAAGCAACACCTCTGGTTGCTCCCCCTCTCGTCCTTCTGCTTTCAGCAGCAACAAAGAAAGACTATCACCTGCTTGATACGGCTGTCCCACAAGCAATAAATGCCCCTTTCTTCCCAGTTACACAATTCTCATTCACTTCTTGCTAAACCATTTCATAGCACGTCACATCTTTCGGCAGCTGCTACCCACATCCCTAATCCTTCCCTCCCTTTGTCCGGTCCGGCACGGCTCCCCTTCCCCAGCAGCGTCAGTGCTGTAGTGGCTGTGCTTTTTTCTCTTCCCAGCTCACAATGTCAAACCCAGACAAAGAACACGAGAAAATACACACTTAGCAGCTGCGAACAAGCGACAGACTCATTCTCCTCACAGGGAACAGGAGTGGGTCCTGTGCCATCTCAGCGCATTTCTACAGTAAGCAGCAAAAATGGTCTATTCTTCCCCAGGTACAGCGTTTTTAGAGAGAGGATTACTCTGAGAGGTACGACTTGCAGGGGAATTAATGATCACTGTACAGAAAGGCACTCAACGCTTGCCAAGCATGATTGCAGAGTTGATTAAACTGCCACTAAAGGTAGATCATCTAGTTGTGAAATATCTCTGCTTAGAAAATGAAAGGAAGATGTTCCCTAAAGAAGCCCTGGAGGCTCCGGGGAAATTATGTTTGGGATGGGTTAGATGTTGAGTGGAAGAAGTTCAGATCTCAAAGAATCTGCTTGCTGTTGTCAAGCCTTTGAGAAAAGATCTGGTTTGTAGATGCTCAGGAGGGAACTGGTAAGGGTTTTGCCTTAGTGTAAAGACAGGAAGCTTTGGAAAGAGTTTTCTGAGTGCTTGCTGGTTGACCAAGTTAAATTCTTAGTATTCATCATTATTTCTCATGAGCTGAATTAGGATATTAGGAAGGGGAAAATGACAGTTGCAGGGATGTTGCTGAGGGAGTCTGTTAGTGATTAAGTCATTTTTTTCTCTCCTGGAAGCCTACTGACTCAAATAGTGATGTTAATAACCTAGACAACATGAGAAAAAAGCAAGCAAGCCTTGGCAGTGATCTGTGTACTTACTGGATCTGTGAGGGTACACTGCCTTTGCTTCTAAAGTTGTAAGAAAGAAGCAGCTTTGGTAAGTCACAGAAAATCCTGGCAAATTCCTAGAAGGGACAGTTCTTAGAGACATCCCAGTTTTGCAAGGATATGCTACAAAGAAGTGTTCACAGCAGTAGGAAAACTCTGAAGCTCTGATGGAGAATGCCACAAAAAAGGCATCAGAGGGAGGCCCAAAACCAGCTGAAAAGATCAGAGTTAAAAAAAAAACAAACACCAAACCTAAAAAGGGAAGAGTTGAGAAAGGGAAACTGAAGAAAAGGAAATTGAAAAAGTAGGTGAACGTAACTGTGGAAAGAAATTCAATGAATCACAGTTCTACAGCAGTTAGAGAAGACTGAAGTGGAAAAACTTGGTCCAATCAGTAAATTTAAAAAAATATTCAGGGAGAAAACATTATTACCCAGTGAAAGCAGTAGCTTCAAAAGAATCAGTGAAAGTATTTCAGGCAAGAGTAGCAGACTGATGAACGTACACAGCAATAAAGAAAGCAAATCTAAAAAAAATTAGGAAGCATTATGGGAAAGGAAAACACCCTATCATCTTTTGGCTAAGAGAACAGAAAAAGAAGGAATTAGAGCAGCATGATTAAGCAAAGGGAATGCCAGGGTGCTGATGAAGACATTCAGAGAAGAATGGTGTCTAACTGGGAGACATCAGAAGTCAATAAAATCTGCAAGTATTGGTTAAAAGTTCTTGCCAATCTGTATATTATCTCAAAATAGATCTATAGGAAATGCTGCAAAAGGCTGGAGGGATGGAGCATGCTTATGGAAAAAGAAAATAAAAGGGAAAAGGTGGCATTATCCTAAAAATCTGTAACTCACTGATGATCTCAGAGCTCCTTATTAAAACAACTGGTGAAAAACAGAATCTCTTGATGATGGGGAGTACCTGGCAGATACCAGAACAAAACAAGAGTCTAGATGTGGCTTTGACAGATTATGCAAAAGCTTCTGAAAGCATGTCATGAAATGGGAATCCAGAAGCAGCTGGGACTGGAGAGGGAAGTGCATGCGCTACGACACAATGGTAGAAGAGGAGATAAGAGGACTGTGAAGGACATGGCAGGTGACTTCTTGTCACCCTTCCTCTTTGTTGTAACTTTGCTTCTATTATTTGCAAAGCTGAGAGACACTGGGAAATGTCATTTTGTGACAAAAGAGGAAAGCCTATCTCATACCTACTCCATACAACAACTTCAAATTACATGGTTAGGAGGAGGTAAAAATTAATTTCCCAGTTAAAACTGTAAGGCTCTTCTGAAGTACATAAGAATTTTATTTATACAGAGCAAGCCTGTATATATTTCTCACCAAAAAAGTCCTACTGAAAGTATCACACGAGACTGAAACAGGTACTGGGGTGAAAGAATGCAGAACAGCACTAAACACCGTAAATGTTAGGAATTCTTCAAAAGATTAAGATAAAAAACAAAGGTGGCTTTAAAGAAAGAGTGCTTCCAGAGACGTGTACTATTCCTAAAGATATTTCAGCATGCAAAATACATTAAAGGTACTCAACATATATGCCATCCACTGGAGTGAGAAACTGGACCCGAGGGAATTGTACAGTAGAACAAAGCAGAAGTCAGCACTGAATTAAGCAATAAACACGAAAGTGGATGTAAGAAAACCTTTTAGTTGATCAGAGGATGACACAGGAGAAGGGCCGAGAATAGTCAAGGATATTACAGAAAATGAGCATATGGTGACAGTGAGCTATATCAGCGAGCGAATACTGTCTAACTGGGTCTTGGGCTACGCTCCAGGACTAGATAGGAAAGACGCTCCTTCTAAGCATCAGCCTCCAGACAGACAAGATGCACAGTCAGGGTGGATTGGGAAGAAGCTACGTGGCCTTTGGGTCACTTATCTCCTGATATATACAGCACCAGTTTTCCCACTGGCATGTCTATAACACACTCCCTTTAGAGCTTTGTACGCATTAAATGTTCCTAAAGACGCATTGCTTCTGGTAGTTATTTGAACACATGTTGAGGCAAGAATTTTTTTTTTTCATTTTATTTTATTTTTCAGCAATGTCAAGAGCATTGCAAACACATACTTATCTGGCACACATATCACTCTGTTTCTCCAACTTCTGGCTCACGTGTCCTTGCATGACCTGCTGAGGACCCAAACCTCCGTCTTCCCACCTACTGTGACCTTGTGAAATTCTGACTCCCAGAGAAACCACTGCTTATGGTACAAAAAACCAGACTATCTCTACTACTGCTACCGCTACTACTACATCTTATGCTTCATCTTATGCCCTGCTGTATCTCCACACGAGCATGAATGCATCCCGCCATTCTACCTGCCATCTGCCCCTTTCCCTAGCTGCGCTCCAGCCTTTGCCTCTTACGGGGCAAAGTCTGCTTCCAAGGGAAGGTACATTCTCTTTGGCTTCCAGAGCAGCAGACATTTGAGCTAGCTGGGCTTCCCTGCCCTGCTAGGCTGCAGCAATCTAAGAAGCAGGGTAAATTCAGCCTGGTTAGAGCTAGCTTGAGACTCCAGCACTGCTGGATTGGTTTCTTTCCTGCTGCTCACCCACAATTTAGTTTCTCAAACTGCTTAATCCCAAAGGCCATCAAGCAGTATCTAGTGGGCCTGTGTGTTAATCAACAACAAGCAATACTTGGTACTGTGGATGACATGGTATTTTTGTATGGAATATAGACTGCAGACCCTGTAATGTAGTATCATGTCCAATAAGCACAGCATCCACAAATAACATTGAGAAAGAAGAAAGAAGAATAGCTAAAACATCATGCAGACTTTGTCTTTTGTGTCAGCCTCCTAAGTAATCTAAGCAACACTAATTATTTACACCGGCTGATGATCTGTCGTGTTGGGTTCAAAACACTTCACAACTCTTGCTCTGGACTCCTCATAATCCAAACATAGAGAAATTAAATAGGGGTCCTTATAAAACTGAGTCAGGCTTTGTGCCAGCTGACTTGCAAGCATTGTTTGAAAGATTAAAATAACACATAATTGCACCAGCTCTCTAAATCTGACCAGGGCTCAGAGGATAAATGCCTTACCTCATTATGCTTAAATGCTCTACCTCAATCTGGTTTAAAACTGAGCATAGGCTGAGAGCTGCCAATCTGCTGTACTGTTAAGAGAACAGAAATACCACTACACACTGGGACGTGGGCTCTGGCAAAGAGACACACTCAGTATTTGGCTTTCCTTTACTGTCCCCTGCTCCTCAGCTCACTTGCTTCCAAGGATCTTCACTTCACCCAGTATGACTATGTGTCAGCTCCAATTGAAATGATCACTTTTCTCAACAGATAGCATTTACCAGCCCATGCGGTGGCTTGCCTCTCTGAAGTATCCTCTCAGAGACAAGTCAGCTGGCCTCATTTGACTCTCAGATAGGTGGAAGTCCCAGTCTGCGTAAAGGAGAGTCAGAGCTAGCTGGAGTCAAATCAAAGATAGTTTTGCTCCAGTAGGAAGAGAGGCCTTGAGGAGCCAGTTTAAAATGGGACCCTGCAAGAAGCCCTGGACAAAAGCCCCAGCATCACTCGTCTACCTCTCTATTGTTTCTAAATTACTAACACATTTGGGAGATACAACAAAAGCAAGGAGACCTTTTGGGCAATTGTACAAGCAATATCATCAGGCGTTTCATGTAAGAGTTAGTTTAAGATGCTCGTGCATCAAATTTCCCATCTAACCCGGCAACTCTACTCTACACAGCTTTCCTGGCTACTGCTTACCTCTTTCAACTTGTCCAGCTCATTTTGCAGTGTCTGCTTGGATACCTCCACCTCAATAATTTGCTGCCGAAGGATTTCATTTTCATCTTCTGCTTTAACACGTTTCTCCTCCACGCTCTCCAGCTCATGGTGCAGTCTGACAGAAACATCTTTGGCTACCTGGTCAGAAGACCACAAATGCATGAAGAGGATCCATGAGGAGCAACAGCTACAGTATGTCTCCTACAGTAGGAAGCATACTACAACCCCAGGCAGCTGAGACATTTTTAATTCAGTTATGAGACTGTTAATGAAAGACTCCAAGCCTTCCAAGTACCAAAATGAATATTCATTTCTAATAAAGAAATCCAAGATGAAAATACATTTGATTACCCCTCTCCAGGTCCCTCTCCACATTATGCTACGGCAATGTCATGAACAGCAGGAGGAAACAAGCAGATACCAAATCTGCACATCAAAGTCCCAGCATATCACGTCAGTAAAACAAAAGATGAGGAACTGTGCTGTAAAGTTGACAGGTCATCGAGCAAAGCCACCTCCATGCAGCAGTCTCATCCACCCACTTTTGCTTCTCTAGCAGCAATCACAACTAGGCAAGAGTGATATGAAAGCACAAAAATATATGCTAGCTTATGTTTTTGAGTCCAGCCTAACAAGAATATTTATTCAAAAAACATTTGGAAAGGTGATTCATCACGCAAAATGAGGAATTACTGAATTACAAGTCACCAAAAACAAAGCAAACAAACTAAAAAAACTCAATATCTCTTTCACTCAAATCTATGTATGCTATTTTTACTGGGTAATGTATCAATTCTATCATGATAAGATTATAATTTGTTTTCTATGATAAAAGAGAAAATTAGATCTGACATTTTGAAAAGTTTGATGACTTGATATGTCACACGCATTTCCACTGCTGGGAAGAAATCATTCCAGTTTCAGAAGGTTTTATGGTTTGCATTTTAATGTACAAAATGCTTAATAATTCCAGTGGTAAGCAGTCCGTCTCTACAGAAGATGTTTTCAAAACAGCTACAAGATAGCAATAGTAAGAAAGACGAGTAAAGCTAGATAAGCATTGTGTCTATGCAAAGTTTAGCCTTGATGGAAACATTTCTGAAAAATATAAAAACTGTTTCACCATGAACATAATTTTTACAGGAACTTGTGTTTTTATGTGAATAGCATTTTGATGCTCTGTCTGCCTTGCTAAAATATAACAGTCTGTTCCTGTTATGAGTAACTCATTAGGCACTAAGAAATGCAACTTTGACTAGGTTTTTTTCAGTTGTTTGGCATAAGCAAGAAGAGAAAAGGAAGGAAATGGCATGAACTGGGAAAAGCATATCAGGTTTTGTTTGTACAGTTTTGCAAAGCTAAGGTTTTCAGCTAAAGCTGTAAAACAAACCCCTTTAGATCTTTCAAATGCATAAATGTAACTTGACTGCATTTCTTTCATTTTGAATCTAAGCACATGTTTTTTTACTCACTAACACATCTTTTTATGATGATAAGCTGCATATTTGTTCTCCACCACAGAAGGAGGAAATTGGTCATGACATTTGGAGAACTACTGCCTGTTTTATGTGTCACCCTCCCTTCCATTGCAGGGAGCCAAATCCCGGTCTGCTCCCTTTCACTGTGAATATGAATCTCTCACCCACCTTTAAATCTTGTTCCAGGCTCCTAATGAGCTCTCCATCCACATGGCCTGTTTGTGCAACTTTCAAGCTTTTTTGTTCCGCTTTCCTGAGACGATATTGCAGAATGCGGCAATTCTTGTTTGCCCGGTCCAGCTCTCGCCGGAGCTCCTGCAGCTGGTAAACATCTTCCTCTAAATAGCTGTCACGCATCTCTTCCATTTCAGCCCGAAGTTCATCCAGCTCATCCTGTGAGAAGTCAAAACAGTGCTCCGTCAAACCTCTAAATCTCACCCATGGGAGCAAAATAGGAAACATGCTCACTAGGATACCACATTAATGAAGTGATACAGATTGCAACATGCAGCTCCAGAAGTTATAGGAACAAAAGTTTTATCCCAACATTGACTAATTATGCCAAACTAAATTAATGAATACTTGTTATATTTCTTAAATTGCTTTAATAATTACAAACAGACCAGATGGTCATCTGTCTCCTGAAACTGGTAACACCTTCATTTTACCATCTCTAATTAAAATAAAAAGTGCATAATACTTTGCCACTATCTGAACTGATTCCTTGCTTTATTTAGACTACAGTAAATCTATTTAACCAACTATCTCAGCATCTCTGTGTATTGTGCCTTTTTAACAACCAGCAACGAAATTGTCCCCTGAAAACTTTCACGAATCTTTATGCCAAATACCGAACTGCTCCATATAAAAATCCTGTCCCATCTGAGCCTAGCACCGTGCACATGCTCAACGACAAATGGGCTGGGTGCAGGAGAAAGTGGGTTTCTGTTGTGTGTGCACACATTTCAATAACAGGACCACAGGGACAAAATAAAACGTGTGCCAGTGGGAAAAACCTGGTCATTCTTTTCCGGGCATCATGAACTGTCCCAGTTCCACATTATACCATGAGCAGCACATGCTCTCTAAAGTCAGATTTAAAGATTTACAGCTGAACAGGATAAGCTCTATCATTCCCACTTGCTTAATCTGTGCATGACTGAAGCTCCAGAGCTAAAACTCTTATAAAGGTCTTCCAAGCACTGGGGTACAAGCCATTAAACTACTGTGTGAGAGGAAAACCATGACTCTACTAACTTTGAACAAAGTTGGGGAAAAAAATCAAGAAAAAGACCCAGAAGGAGAATACTTGAAATGAACTACTAATTTGTCAATTGTTTTCTTTAGACTTGCATTTGATATTATAAAAACCAAATCTTCTGTTGAAAACATGGCTTAAATAAGTTTCCACGAGAACTGGCACTGGGATTAGGTCCACTGTCACCTCACTTCAGATCTATAAACTTGAAACACCAAGGATGGCTGGAGAATATTTCACACTTGTAACAGGTGGAGGAGACACTGCTATGGAGTTAGCTCCCTTGACAAAGCCTCCTCCAAAGCTGGACCACCAGTGTTCAGCCCTTCAAGAACATGTCTGCCTACATCCCCCTGGTAGTCCTCTCAACCATTCCCCCTTCCCACGGCCTTACTGGATGGACGGTCGTGTTCTCCCTTGTATTCATCTTGCTCCACTGGAGGTTCAGTACCAAATGAGGGACAGATCTTCTGTCTGAGCACAGTTGTGACCAAGAGAAGACAAGTCAAACTTCTTTAGCCTCACTAGCATAGTTATGTTGAAATTATAGTGTTACTTTAACCAAAATCCCATCCACTTATAAAAACTCCAGAATTTATACAGCTATGTTTTAACTTCAGTTAGCTGAGCCAGTGTAAGTCAAATTTTGGGTAAGCACAAGGCTTGTTATTTCCAAAATGACCACCTTGGGCTCAGCAGCGAGGACTTGCTCCACCAGTGCAGCCCTCCCAGGGCTCTACACAGTTCTCCCTTAGATGCTCAGAAAGGACAGACAGGTTTTCTCACAAGACCACTATATTGCTATATATTCTTAACATATTCAGATTTCTGCCATAAAGGCAACCTGTCCCACAATCTCCCGAGGACAGCTGCAGAAGTAGGATATTTGTGTGGATGGAGAAGCTCAAGGGTTACTCCCCAGTGAGCTGGATCATGCTCATGCCATACACTGTCTGAAAAGGAATAGCGTAAGCAAGTAGTAGAAGTTACCCTTGCAGCAATGACATCCTCAGAAGTTGCAAATACATTAATTGACCACAAATGGTAGACTGCGAGGAAGCAAACAAGCTCTGCAGACCAAACCCAGTAGGATTCTTTCAAAAGAATTTATGGGCCGGGCCCTGCCTGCCCCTCCTCAGGATACGGCCAAACACTCTGGCCAGTTTACAGCAAACACACTGGTGAAGTTCTGATACGATTGATATTTTTAAAAAGAAAAACATAGCAATGTATGCTTGAGTGGATTGGGGAAGAGACCTGTTTATCTTTTTAATGTACACAATTTTTCACTATGCTTCACAGTTATAGACACTTTTAAGAGGCAAAGTAAAAGTTTACCAGTAAAGATGGAGATGCAGAAGAAAATGTCAAGGTTTTAGAAACCTGTTAGAGAGCAGAAGTGGCTTTTGAACCTAAGCAAATGAGTACACTTCTGTGTTACCACTTTGTTAACCAGGTATTTTGGCTAAGGTACTCATACCAAAAGTACAGTCTTTACCTGTCAGAACCAATACGGCCCTCTAGGATGAACAGGACCAGAGTTATTGCTTAGGGCTGTTTGCAGACTCAGGAGTTGAATCTACCTCAACTAGGTTTAAGTTCAATTAACTTTTTAATACAAACTTCAGAATGCCTATGTTAGATTAATAATTTGGTAGCAAATTGAGAATTCTGAAACATAAATCCACAATAAAGGAAAACATCTGTCATCACCAAATTAATGGGACCTGGTTTATAATCTGATGTTTATATTTAAGAACTAAGCAATGGCTCTTGTGTATTAAGTCGCCTGCAAAGAACAATTATAATGTTATTGCTCATCTCTTAAACTTCCTTCTTATCTATATCAGGTTTTCGAATTAGTAAATCTGGTTGGTTTCTAAAGACAAATAATCCACAATATTTGACTTCAAAGCATTTATTACAACCAAATTTGGAAAGTGAAACTCACATCATTTTAAAAAACCTCACCCATCAAACAGTCACCCCATTGAAACTGAATATTCCCAGATCCTCTCAGTGGGCACAGGGGCTCTCCAAGTCTTAGGAGTCACTCTGTCTCCATCAGAGACCTGAATCCGATGTTTTTCCTCCAACCAAAGCAGTTCCCCAAAGAGTTGCAAGCACTGGCATGAGCTGTATTTCAGGAGATAGGCCTGTCTTTTACCTCCCGGAAAACTGAGGTTTTCTGAATCTCCCTTAACAGCACAATTCTGACTTTGCAAGTCTGTGATTTTTTTGTTGTTGTTGTTATGCTTGCCTCTGGTTTTGGTTATAAACACACAGTTTCCTTTTCTCTAGTGCAATTTTGCATACAAATTAAAATTTAGGATACAATCAAGAAAGCTGTCCTTGCACAACTCTACTTTCAGATTTTTTTTGACTGAATTGAGCTTCTTTTCTACACTTCTTTTTTTTTCTACTCCTAAAACTTTCATACAGAAATCAGATTGCATCCTGACCCCTTGTACTTCGGAATACAGCATCCTTTGGATGAGTTTTAATATACAGCGACATACATGCAAGCACATTGAAGGCACAAAGAATTTTGGTCGTACAAGGAGCAGAAACCTCACCGCACGGGCTGCACGCAGCACCAGCCTATTTTCTGCTGTGTTATTGCAGTGCCTGGGGCTTGGTTCTACGTACTCTGTCTGACCCAGGGAGGAAAAACCCAGACAGGAGAGATAAAATCTTTTTGAGTAGCAACCTGAAGTCCTATATTTATATATTGAAAATATACACACAGGAGCATGTCACCTCTGACATGTCAAAGTATAGGAAAACGATATGTGGTTCAGATTTTGTATGACAGCACACAATTATGGACGCTGGGATAATCCTTCACTAGTTGCTGTAAAGACATAATCTTGCTCTCAATACAGGCCACTAAACCAGTGGCAAGGGTGTAGATGTTTCTAGTTCGTAACAGTTTATCCTCCTTGGTAGGTACCTGTGATTCTGCTGTAGATGCTGAAACCATGTGTTAGCATCTCCCAAGTCAGAGCTGTTACAATTACACCTACAAAATCAGGACAGCCTCAACTTCTAAAGCGATGTGTGCACACACAACAGAGGAAGCTAAGTTAAAGACCCAGGGAAGCAGAAATTACAACTGAAACTACGATGGTCCTACTTACTAAACCAGCAAACTTACCGCTTTGGAGGAAAACATGTCAATCATAAGTGAAATCACAGATAAATACAGAAAAGCCAGAACCTTAAAAATCCCAAACTCGGTAGTTGGCAAAAAAGATGCTTTGGCTGTGAGGCAATCGGAAACACTAGAAAACCCCCATCCCCGACTTCATTAAAATGTATTGTTCTTATTACTGTTATTATTGTGAGTGAGAATTGAAGCTTTCTCTGAAGAGGTGTTGAGCTTCATACCATGGACTTTAATATTGTAAAACTGAAGAAAGAGATCAGAATAGACACTTAAGAGTAATTAAAACACACAAGTAAGGAAGCAGCCACCCCATTTTGCGCAGCCAAAAGAGGGAAAGCCTGCTCCCTTCTTTAAACAGGGAGGACCTGCTCCAGCATCCAAAAGTGGCAATTGAAATTGGTTAAGTGCCAGCATAAGAAGCTTCACTTTGCTGTATGTTCCTGTAGGGGATGAGAGCCTTCTCTTGATCCCTTTTAATTTAATGGTAATTATGTTATTACCATCAGTAAGAACAGCACCAGGCAGAGAGTCCTGGAAGAAAGAATAGTGTTTAGGAAAAAGCTAAACTGCTTTTCCTTCCAGATGTCACCCTGGTCATCAGAAAGAAAAAATGGAAGTGGGGGAAGGAAAACAGCTTTCTAACTGGCAGTTCTTTCAAATTTGCAGTAGAAATCCCAGTTGCGCCTGAGTCTAACCACTTATGGTTTCAGCTGCTTGGCCCAAATGACTTCCTAAAGGCCAGCTATTTGGGGTCTAATAGGGATCACTCATCTGGAATTCACAGGGTGGCTGTGCGAAGTGGGACACACTTAAATAGCTGCTCCATTTGCAGGATTCCCCTAGACTTCAGTGCAAAAGCATGAGCAGTAGGATTTGCTGTTGCCATGTCAGTCTGCCAAGCCAAGGTGAATTGGCTGAAAGGGGAAAGCCTGGGTGCAGTTTACATCACTGCATAGCCCAAATACA